AAATGAAATTATGGCTAAACAATGTATTGACACTAAATAAGGATTTATTTGAATATTTAATAATAATAAATATACGATATATAAGGGAAAGAGAGATACCGGTGCCCACTCTGGAGTGGCTTCAGCGCCCGTATCACTGGTTGTTATGGCGTTTTTGATTAATTCTTATCGCAAACTACCTTTCCTTCTCATACTCATCGAAAAATACACACAAATCCATTGTTAACACAAAAGTTAAACAAACTTTTTATTATAACAAATAGTTATATAATGTGTTACTGTTTTTTGGGTGTGATTTCTAATAATAATAATAATTTTAGTGAATGGCTATAGTATTGAACTTTTTTTGAGCGCAAATCACCAAAGATTTACACCTTATTATCTCCCGATATAAATATCAAAACGATTTATTAGTTTATTTTTTGTGCTCACTATCAGTGATAATTTGATCCGAAATACAATTTTCTACTTAATTCTTGTAAACACTTAAAGCGTGTCTCAGTTTTTTGTGAATAAGAAATATAGTAATAATAGTAATAATAATATTTAAATTGATATTTCACTCAAATACCAGACTATTCACTAGTGTTTATACAAATCACTCAAAGCACTGGTGTTTTCATATGATTTTCATCTTCTTTGTCGCTCTCAATGGTATGTCTTATGAAATGTGTGGCCAACTCTTGTCGTCTCTCACATCCCAATCAATGTGTTTTCATGTGTTGACAACAATTTAAAGTTTTTTGTCTACAATTTCTTACATATGAAGAGAGGGAGAAAAACACACAAAAATAAATATGAATTTCTATATAATAAGCAATAAATATAATACTTATTTGAAATATACTCTAATATATCTCATCGCTGTTCACATTCACATAATCAGAGCCCAAGGTTTGTAACATCCGTTTTATAATTAATTATTTCATTAATTGTATTGTTATTAAATCTATAAATAACTTTATAAACACAACATAATAAGTTATTATTAATAACTCATCTAGTATAAAAATGTGCTTTTATATCCTATTTCTACGATCACCTTACTAATCAGTACAGAAAAACCATTTGGGTTAAAGTGATATAAAAAATATGCTAACTATGTTTATGCAATAATTTATAAAACTGCTATTTTGACATGGAGGGAAATCGACGACCTAGAACATATTGAATATATTTTTGAGTTATTTATATGACTTGTCAATGGGTGAAAAAAGGGAAAACCGTAGAGTAATAACCACTAAATTGACATTTCTTATACAACTTATGATTTATTCGTGTATTTATTTAAACATTTTGCAAAATATTTCCGATAATTAACGCCAGCATTCATTCATTAGAGTTGTTTATTTGATACATAGATTTAGTTAAATAAATACCAAAAATTACTAATAATTAAAACAATAATTATAACTAATTTACAAATACTATTGATATACAGAAGAGGAGATAATAGCGGACATAACGAGTTCTAGTCAATCGTCATCAAGTGATGTGATCTGTTCACAGGCATCCAATTGCAGCAAGTGCATTTCACACCCGCAATGTGCCTGGTGCATGTCAGTGGTCAAAACACTGCCCGGCATATCCCGGTGCGACTCGTCCGACAGTTTACTGGCCAACGGGTGTCCGGACGCCGATATCGTGAACCCGGCCTCGTCTGTAGAGATTGTGAAAGTATGGCAACACTTATAATGATTTATAAAATTATTTAAAATATTAATTTGTATTTTATGTTTCAATGATAGGATGACATTCGCATCAATCCATCGCAATCGCCCATTCAATTACATCCACAAAAAATTCATTTACATATTAGACAAAGTTTGTGATCAAGTTTTTTTTAATCATCTCATTATAACATCAAATATTATAATAAAATATAATTTATTTATTTTTAATTTAAAACACACTTTTAGACGATGTGCAACGTTTTCGCATAAAGTATGAACAGGTACTCGACTATCCCATAGACTTATATTACTTAATGGATTTGACTTACTCTATGAAAGAGCATAAGGAGAAACTCGTCGAACTGGCCGACAGTCTCGGTATTTGGCAATTCATTTGACTTACAATTAATAAATAATAATAATTAAAACAAAACAAAAACATTTCTGTCACTCAAAAAGCCGTTCACATGAATAACATAACCAAATCGTTTCGGCTGGGGTTCGGGTCGTTCATCGATAAGGTGGTGATGCCGTACGCGTCGATGGTTTCGGCAAAGCTGGCCAACCCCTGCACCGACCAACAGGCCTGCGCCCCGCCCTACGGCTTCAGGAATCACCTGCCGCTCAGTCATAACATATCGCGTTTCGCTGTGGAGGTCGGCTCCACACCGCTGTCCGGCAATCTGGACAACGCTGAGGGCG